CAAAAGAAAATGTATTCACAAAACCCATTATTGCTTTATAGAAAATCTGGCAAACTATCGAAGTGCCTCCTGTCGGCTGCGATTTTTTTACGTCAAAAAAAAAACTTCAAAAATCCATCGACACCATCTAAAATCATTTTTTTTAGCTCTACTTTACGGGAAAATTCATTTTAAACCTTAAACTTTCAGATTCCGTTGGATCCCCCAAGATTAAAAAAATTTTTGAAAAAGTGGACCACCCTAACCTACATACTCTATGTAAACTATTCTGTTATTTTCTTTCTTCTGCTACATTACTACTTAATGTAAACTCCTTTTTCTCTTTCTTTTAAATAAATCACCGTTATACATCCAAAAAAAAAAAAAAAAAAAAAAAAAACACACACACACACACACACACACGGGCAGCCCGGCAGCCGCGCTGATCAACGACTTAAAAATACCTTACAATTACCCCAAGTTTTTCGGCGCCTCGCTGCTGCTCTGATGACCTCTCGTCGATGCTCTTGGTGTAGTCTCCTTGGCCCAACTACTACTGCTGCCCGCGTCCGGGCTTCGTCGTACCTCCACGTGTGTTGTCTTTATTCAAACTTCTCGTCCTCTTTCGGGCTCTGCGCACCTCACTCGTGCGATTCTGTCTGCCCGATCGGACGAGTCTGCTCCGACGTGTCTTGCCCACCTGGGCTCCGATCTGACTCGTGTATGCAATTTCCCACGGGCACTACATGGGCACTTGCTCACCCGCGTCACACGACACCTTCAGCAATCACCTCGGCAACTTCGGCTTCACGCACTAGCTCGCGTTTTCCTGCGTCTTTCTATCACTCTGCTTTTCGCGTGACCTTCCCACTTGCCAGCGTATTCTAATCTGCCTCATGCGTCGTGGCGAAAGTAATTCGCCCGGTGTCGGCTCGGCTCTTTCTGTCCTTCTCGCACGTGTTGATACTGGGCCACGCTCCTGGCTTCACCTCATCATTCCGATGAGCCACTGCTTATCATCTGCCTGAAAATGCGCGAGAAGAGGGAGACACACACGCACTCACTCATACATACGCGCGTGCGGCAGTCTCGGCGCGACGCATTTTCTGCGAGTGCTCGATCGTTTACAAATAAAACAAGCATAAAATAAGCTAAGTAATACAAAAATATGCAAAAATTAAGCCAGATAACAGATATTCAGATACAGTAAATCAGTAACATATTCAAACACTATGACTAAGAATATGTACAAGTGTAGGTAAAATTAATTGCTATAAGTATGAGAGATTACAATTAATAAGCAAAAATACGTAAAAATTTTTGAGCATTCTGTTGTCTCCTCATGTATTGCCCAAGTAGGCTCTTGAATGACGCCAGAGAGCCCGATGACCGTATCTGAGCAGGAAGTGCATTCCATGAGTTTGCTGCTCTAATCGAGAAACCTGACTTCAAGGTGGAGGAATCCGAAAACGGCACCACTATCGTCGGCGCTCCACCCGCGATTCTTGCAGATCTGCGGACCTCTACGCCCGTCCAATGATAGAGATTCGAAAAGTATTATGGGCATAATCCATTGAGCGCCTTGAACGTTTGCATGTTTAAAAAATAGTCGCGTCTCTGAGATGGTAACAGTCAATCGAGCCTGGCGTAGTAAAAAGGCTGCTTTAGCAGCGTTTACTCCTAGTCCACGAACATTAAAATAATCTGTAAATCGATCCTCAAGATTTTCTAATAGATCCGACAATAGAGGTTTACTCAATTCAATACCTGAACTTTCTAGTAACATCTGCCATTTATATTTTAAAATTAGTAGTGTCAGCAATACACATCCAAAATAACAATTATTCTCTGCTTGTAATTTGTCGATTGCCGTGGCGAGTGGAGTAGACCATTTTATATATTCCTCTATATAATCAAAATTGCTTTCGTCTAAAACAAATTGACTTCCGATGACTATCCAGGATTGATGGTCGAGGAAGTGGGCTTTTAATTTCAAAATTTGTTTAAAGCAATCATATAGAGAGTTCCAGCGGGTTATAACAGGTCTCTTTAGACAGCACTCTAAATATTTTTCTAAATCTTCCCTTTTTTCGGAGAAGATGAGCATCGCCACAAAACTTGACATTTTTTAATTGTGTCGTCGTGAATTTTTTTAAATTCTATGTGGCGAGAAATGGATTTGGTTGTATCTGTCGTTGCGATTAAATTTAAAGTGTGACTACAACAACGATAGTGCCGAGGAAGTCGAACCAATCTTTCCAATTCGCTCGTATCAATAATTTTTTCAATTTCTTCGCCCTCTTCATTATCGTAATTTTCTACGTTGATAACTGATGGATCTTCAATTAGCTCTTCATCTTCATTCTCATCGCTATCGTCGTCAGGAAGTTGCTCGTTACTTTCTGGAAAAATAATTGAAACGACGTCAAGTATGTATAGAAATTTTTGGATAGAACCAAAATTGATGGAAAAATTTTTTTCTCCACTCAATTGTAAATAATTAATAATTAATTTTTATGATATTTCATTCAAATTAAAAAAAAATTTAACTATCAACTTCTGAAATGCCGATTCTCAGTAAAGTTGAATGACTAAAAAATTACTTAAAAAAAAATTAAAACTTCTGAATGAAATTATTTTTAATGATCGTGGCATCGTTGCGAGTCATTCAGTTAATTGCTGAAGTATTTATGTAAATAAAAATTAATTTTGATAATTTGTTTAAACAAAATTGTTTAAACAATTTTTAATGCCTTTTTAGCATGCAATAAGAGGTAGTATTAAATCAAGATGAAAGTAAAAATTGACGAACAAAATTTTCTTTACAGGAATATCGAAGTCGCCACGTGATATTTTTTTAAGTTCCACATTTTAGACATTCACTTGAGTTTGTTAGAAATTAAGGAAATAACTTTCTTATTTCGAATTTGGAAATTTTCCATATAATTTGAGGTATGCCTGACTATTCTTCGAAAGGACCGTAATCATTAAAAAATTACAAAAAAATTATCGTAATAACCATTGAAATAATCGATTCTTCATCTACGGGGATGTTGATCCCCTGAATCGGGGGGTAAATCAGGAGCTTTCAAGGAGTAAAGCTCGGATCCATAAAGCATGTATCAGGGTCGGTTTTCTTCGGATATTATACTATAAGTCTCGCAGGCGTAAGAATTCTCACTTTCTCTCCGATGCATCAATTACATATTCATTGCCATATCATTTTTACATAGATTCTTGATTGTACACGCGCATAGTTATTCACGTAGACACTCCCACCCAACAATAGGACAACGATCTCATTTTTTTTTCTTCGATCTCGTGAATTGAAAGTAATTTTGTGTAAAGATATGGACAATTTCTAGAAATTTTTTAAGGAACATTAATTTCCGAACGAAACGGTTGGAAGAGAGAAACATTACAAGCGAGACACGTCTCCGTATAAGCCGGGGACTTCTTTTTTTTTTTTAACGGCGCAGGGTGCTGAACAAAAATTTTTCCATAGCGTATAATACACAAAAACGACGTCAAGTATGTATAGAAATTTTTGGATGTAAACAAAATTGATGGAAAAATTTTTTTCTCCACTCAATTGTAAATAATTGATAATTAATTTTTATGATATTTCATTCAAATTAAAAAAAAATGTAACTATCAACTTCTGAAATGCCGATTCTCAGTGAAGTTGAATGACTAAAAAATTGCTTAAAAAAAAATTAAAATTTCTGAATGAAATTATTTTTAATGATCACCTTCTTCAATCTAATCGAAATCTTCGTCGACAATGCCAAACTCCTTGAAGGCTTTAACGAAATTTGAACCGTTATCGGTCACTGTCCCCGCAAGTTTCGACAAAGGCAATTCAAAAAATGTATGAATTTCTTCCAATAAGTTTGTAACATTATCAAAGGAATGGGTTCCAGGAAAGTTCCTACATGCTAAAGCAACCGATTTTCTACTCAAGTTATTGTCATCGATCTGAAAAATTTAAAAAGCACATTAGTTTAGTACTATATCAGAAATATAAACCTCTTAGTGATATGATTCTGTTCGAACACAAAATAACACTCTATTACGCTGCAGTCCGAAGCAGTATCATACCACTAGAAGACGTTAAAATATTAATAATTTATTTTAATTACCCAATGAGCTGTAACACCAAGAAATCTTCGATGTTTAGAACTCCACGCATCAGCAGTAGTGCAAACGCAGTTCGTTTTTGCCAAAGCTAGTTTTATATCAAATAACATGGAGTTGTATTCATCGTTTATTTTTCTTCCGATTTTATATCTGGTCAGGTGAACTAAAATTTTTTGGAACTTCGATCTAATTTTTAAATCTGAAATACTATAAATATTATATTAATCACAATTTAAAAAATAATTCTAGGGCTGTGCGGGTACCCGATTTTTCGAGTTTTACTCGACTCGAACTCGAATCGTCTCGTCTCATTCAACAAATTGAAATTTCGGCTTTTTTGTCTGTGATATTGTCAATAAACTCTAATAAAATAGTTATTAAAAGTGGTTTTTTGGGTTGCAATATAAACTCTCAAGCGGGGAAATTTTTATTCTTTCAAATTACCAACGGAAAACTAAGAAACAATCGTAATTTCGAAAAATTATGAAAATGATCTCGCAATCGTCTTCTAACCCAAGTCTACTGTTGTCGGAAAAATAATATTCTTAATAACGATTGTTTCTTAGTTTTTCGTCGGTAACTTCAAAGAATAAAATTTCCCCGCTTGAGAGTTTATATTGCAACCCAAAAAACCACTTTTAATAACTATTTTATTAGAGTTTATTGACAATATCACAGACAAAAAAGCCGAAATTTCAATATTTTTTTATTTACAAACTAAAAACTTTAACTAAAAACCGCTTCGATATTTCGATACACAAGGATGTCCGCTTTCTCCAGATATTTTTTGTTTATTTTTTTACGGCACGGTAAACTAATTACAAGTACTTTTACCAACCAACTTTAACATGTAAAGTATACGGCCGGTCGCTTTGTTTTGCCTGCAGCCAAATCAGCTGGTCGATTTTTGACCCTCACTGACGACTGTGAAAAATCCCTATAGTAATTAAATAAAAAATATACTACTTACTTATTCTTTATTTAGTCGTTATAATAACCAACGTAGAACGTAAAAACTTGAAAATCACTCACTCGCTGATTGCAGCAGTTACTACGCAACGTTCGTTTTCACAAGCTACTGGCGTACTGATACTATGATAAACTCTTATTTTAACACACGCGTGTTTTCCTAAGGAGTTCGAAGGAGAATCTCATTGTTCACTACCGATAGTATTACGTATGTACTTCGTTTCTATGTGTATATGTGTGTGCCACTAGTGTGTATATAACTCTTGCTAATGCTTGCTCCTCACACAAAGTCAAGTGAGATGCAATGTGATGTAAACAAACCCGTGACCCAACTGTGCTCTCAAAAATTCCGAAACAACACATGATAAAAAGAATGAAAAATAATAATTTTTAGTTTAAATTATATATAATCCCCGTTAATACGATATTTTTTACAATTGCCATCAAAATGATAGTTGTTGAAAAAAATGAAAATTTATGTTTAAAATTAATAAAACGCTTATCTTAAACGTATACCCACTGTTTACCACATGAGAGTGGCTATTCAGGGGAAAGCTCGTGCACGAAATATTTTGGTGCACGAAAACTTCAATCGAGCGTTATGTAACTGATCATTTTTCGTGCACGAAAAAAAATTTTCCGACTCCATTTCATCCACGAAATTTTCCGGAAAATTTTTCGTGCACGAAAATTTTGTCATTTGAGTCATTCAAAAACCTAGATTTCGTGCACCAAAAACATTATTTCGTGAACCAAAAACATTATTTCGTGCACCAAAAACATTATTTCGTTTATGCAATTTGTATGCTCATTCGTGCACCAAAAATAATTCGTGTACGAACACATTTTTTGGTGCACGAAAAATTATTCTTTTTTTCAGTGCGTACGAATACTTATTCGTGCACCAAAAATAATTCGTGTACGAACAAATTTTTTTGTGCACGAAACATTATTCTTTTTTTAGTGGGTACAAATACTTCTTCGTGCACCAAAAATAATTCGTGTACGAACACATTTTTTGGTGCACGAAACATTATTCTTTTTTTAGTGGGTACAAATACTTATTCGTGCACCAAAAATAATTCGTGTACGAACACATTTTTTGGTGCACGAAAAATAATTCGTGTTAGAACATATATTTTTAGTCCACGAAAAATAATTCGTGTTAAAACATATTTTTTGGTCCACGAAAAATCGAGGAGCGCGTGTCGCGCTCCGAATGGTAAGAATGACAGACATTCGATGGCGTGCATATGAGCAGCAGCAATATTTATCTGTAATTTGATAGAAACGTTTCGAAGACTAGTAGCAGCAGCTGCTGTAGTCGTCTTAGAAAGTACTATGGTATTCAGAGGTAAGATTGAGAGAGAGACAGAGAGAGAGAGAAAGAAAGAGAAAGGGCGCGCCTAAGGGCGTTTAGGCATTTTTATGATCTAGCTTCAAGAATCTTCATCTTGGCTGCAGCGCATCTGCACTCCTGCACCTCACCGCTTTTGTAGGTACAAAATATTCATCAGTCGTGCGAATAAAACAACAATTTTTCCGATCGCTGCTGACACACGGCGGAATCCAAATCTAGCCAACGCAGACGGATCGACACCTTTGCACATTATAACCAAGACGAGTAATCAACTGGATAATGACGTGAAGATGTTTTTCGAGCTCAGCAACGATAAGTACGGACAAGTGCGGGTCAACGTCTTTGACAATTCAGGCCGGACACCGTTGCATTATGCTGTGAGCGGTTACCTGCATGAGTCGATTGTTCTAATTTTGATGGAACAAGGCGCCAATCCGAATGCGACCGAGAAAGATGGGTCGACCCCTCTTCATATCATTTGCCAGAGAAAATTTAGCGATGAATCGTCGAGATACTTGAAGATATTTTTTAAAATCAGTAAAGAAGTCAATCGGTCGTTGCAGATGGAAGCCCGAGACAAGTGGAACCGCACACCTCTTCTAGTGGCTGTGGAGAGCCTCAAGCCGGACGTGGTCGATGTACTCTTGGATCACGGTGCTGATCTATCTGGCTTGATTTTCCCCTCTGAGCTTCACTTCGACGAGGGTTTTAACAAAGATACAGATCATTTACATTATTATTGCAGGGCTAAATTTAAATTTTTTTTCGCGACTGACGTTCTCGCCGTCGTCGAACGCCTCGAGAAACGAGGATACGAATTGGTTCGAGACGACGTCTCGACGATCATAAAATTGTTCGCTAAGCACAAAGTTTTCGAGAAATCGGTGGATCTACTTCAACGCCTGCCAAACGACGAAGAGTTGACGAATATATGTAAACATTTTATCATCAAGCCGAATCTGTTGTTCTACGTACGACCTGACCCGATTACGACCTGAAGAGGCGGCAAAACTACACACGTATACGGACTACTTCAACATTTGGCGCTTGGACGAATGGCGGCGATTCCCCAAAATATCTCGCCAATTGAGTTTGACGTACATGTGCGAGATAATGTCCAAAGAATTTTGTCGACGATGGGCGCTGGAGCTTTTCTTTACAAAGTTGGCCTGCCGATTCTCTGCTACGAAATAATCATCGATAATTTGAAAAACGAAGATTTATGCCAAATTTGCTTGGCGGCTACAGATCACAGCTTATGAAGCGACTAAGACTATTTGCATTGTTTTTTTCATGTCTAATAATTCAAATAAATAAACTATTAAAAAGATGATTTATTTACTTTTTATTGTAACATTAATAATTTACATGATACATTAGCGCACATAAGAGGTAAGTTATGTTATTATTTTTTTAATGTGCCACTTTCATGTGCAAGCAACTTAATAGCTGAATTATTTTTATTTATATAATACAATGCAATTAGAACAATAAAAATTTTTCTTTTCTTGGTCATTAAAAGAAATGCAAGTTACGTGAAACTTACTTAGACAGGAATCGCATTGTAACATTAAATCTTTTTCTTCCTGCTCACAAATTTTACAGGTGAAAATTCCCATTGATAACTTTTCTTCGATTAAAATTTTGAAATGTTTGAATGCTGCTCTTGTAAAAAATTTTTTTAAAATGTCAACATCAAATATCTTTTTATCTTTAATCAAGAAAATATCATGTAAATTTTTAATCTTTAGCTCTTTCACATGATTCACTTGGATGGTATATTCACGATCAATAACATTCAATGCGTCATGAAAGTCTAGGAAAGAATGAAGCAATGTTTTTTCCATTTCTTTTTTATTCTTCTGAAGAAATGGTTTCAAGTTTGATTCAATCTTCAATCCAATCGCATTTTCCTTCACTTTTTTTTTGGGTGCTCCTTTAGATTTAATTTGGCCTTTTTTAGGAATTTTGACAGAATCTGAAAATGATTTAAGAAATTTCATATGGTTTATAGTTTACTAGAGTATTGAAGGCTTTTTTTTTAAAGCTTGGCAAGTTTGCAAAATACCTTTAGGTGTAATATCATTAGGTGCATCATCATTTCCAGAAAGATCAAGTAATGTTGTCATAAGCTGCTTGTCATCCTTATCTGGCGACACAAACTGCTTGGCAGCCTCATCTAGTGTGGAGTGCTGCTGCTCGCCATTCTCATCAGATGTTGAAAGCTCCTCGTCTTCCTTATCTGGCGACACAAGCTGCTTGGCAGCCTCATCTGGTATGGAGCGCTGCTGCTCGCCATCCTCATCAGATGTTGAAAGCTGCTCGTTATCCTTAAATGGTGACACGAGCTGCTTGGCAGCCTCATCTGGTACGGAGCGCTGCTGCTCGCCATCCTCATCAGATGTTGAAAGCTGCTCGTTATCCTTAAATGGTGACACAAGCTTCTTGTCAGCCTCATCTGGTGTCTTAAATTGCTCCGCATCCTCATCTGGTAGTAAGCAGCTTATAACACAATCTTCTAAAATTTCTGCAATGGCATCCTGCCCTGATTTATTTACTGTAGGTGGAGATGATGTAGAACCATTGTCAGAACCATTGTCAGAACGATTTTCAGAAACATTGTGGTTCACCTACACAAATTAATTTTTTATAATTAGCAAAAACAATACAGAACGTATGTACAATTTATGCGAGTGGATTTTGCATGAAGACACTAGAAGTTATCATAATTTAGCTAGGCCGCGTGCATGCAGCCGACTGAGTTGCTTCAAATGCCATTAC